AGCTACTGGCAAGGATGTTCCTGCGTGGAAACTTGGGCTGGCAGGGAGTATGGGTGCGTTTGTCTAGCGTCTGAACGATTCTGATGATTTACTGACTACATCTCTAGCTGGAGGAATCGCTGGATTTGTAGGGAACCCTGGAGGTAATCGATCACACGAGCTCCAAACAAACGTGTATCCTAACGTATTCAATGTCAGAAATCGTGATGGTCCGTCTACAAGGTGATTTCGCAAAGCCGCCGGAAAAGAGATTCAACTATAAGCACTGTTTCGATGCATTATTCCGGGTCAGTTTGTCCTTGCCTATCCTCAGACTCTGGGCTCATTCATTGTGTTTGCAGATGGTCCGCGAAGAAGGGCCCTCTTCTCTTGCGCGCGGTGTGGGACCTAACGTATTCAGAGCGATACTGATGAATGCGAGTCAGTTGGCATCGTAAGGGCATCTACTATTTCCTAATGTTGTGACTAACCAATATCGTTAGATACGACTTTTTCAAATCTGAACTCCTCAAGACAAAGTATTTCGAGGATAACATCATCTGCCATTTTACGGCTAGTTTCGCTGCGGTAGGTTTTATGTTCCTCATTTCATCGTTGGATCCATTTCGCTTCCACACCAATCCAACTCGCTCAAGTCATTTCGCTCTTGATCCAAGATCTTTGCGTAACTCTTACTCAACATACTGTTATTTGCTCTATCCTGTCCTTACCTTTGTACTGCTCTCTTCCGCTTTCCGCTTCCCTCCTATCTTCCGTCATAAGAACTATACTGACAAACCTTTCCTTTCGTTATAAATAGGGAACTGTAGCGACCACCGTCTGCTCTCCCGCAGATGTGCTCAAGTCGAGAATTATGAACGCCAGTGGACCTGGGTCTTCGGTAAGCTCCTTTGATTAATGCCGCTTCAGCTTGACTGATGATCACCTACCTTCTTCTTTCCTTCTCTATCTCGTCTCGTGCGCTCCCTCTTAATCCTTTCAACGTATATCTCCTACACAGTCAACTATCGGCGCGATCCGTACAGCCATAGCCTCCGAAGGCCCAACATTCATGTTCAAAGGCTGGGTTCCGGCGTGGATGCGTCTCCAGCCAACGACGATTCTCATCTTTTTGACCCTCGAGCAATTGAAGAATTTGGTTGATTATGGGAGGGGGAAAGGGTTTGAGTGGTTTTAATTGAGAACAAACCACAATATTGCTTGACGAGGGAGGGGGGGTTTCGAGCGAAGCTAGAAGTAGTGGGTATGTTCTGGGAGTTTAGAACGAGTGGGAGGCGTGCAGCTCTCTCATCCAGCGTTGATTGGTCTTGAGTCCTGACAGACGAGTACTCGGAGAGGTTGTGTCGACGTAGGAAGGGCGACGGAGGACGAGAAAGCGCGATGCTTATGAACGTTTGGGAAGTATGTAGGCTATTATGTATGATGGGGTGTATGTATATGTGTACAACTTTTTCACGAGGAACAATTGTCCAATTCAATGTAATTTTCACGTACTTATGAGTGGCTGAAAAATTGGTGCTGCGTCTCAAGACGTTTTTGAGACTTAATTGTAGTACTCCGGGTAATAAGTAGCTGACTCTCATAGCGCCAATACTTAGCCCTATCAGCAAAAGTGCACACGCCAAAAATACAAGAAATCCGCTCCACAGAAAAATAGACTGATTAAGTGAGGCTCAGGTTAATCTAGCTAACAGTGGTAAGAGGCAGTGGTAGGCGACGGTGAAGCCACTAAAGTGATTATAATTTACCAGTGCCAAAAGTAACTTATTGGAGTTGATAAGTACCAGTGAAGGAGAGAGCATTTGCAGTTCCGAATCACTCATCTTTCCTGAATCAAATATTTCTTGCGGAAGTTCTAGTACGGGTCCGATATAGTCTAGTGAAAAGGGATTTTAAAAGTTGAAGTTAACGCGCGATTCACTCTGCGACATGTAATTCTACTTGCTTCAGCAGGCCAAATCGAGCCTCGGGAAGCGCCCAGAATGTTCAAGTTCATATTGAGGACCTGGGAGGAAAGACAAGCAGCAACATACGACGACAAGACGAAGACACAAATCATCATCATTTGCCACGCAACCAACCACTAATGTGGTTGCGCGCGCATCTTGCACTTAGTCGTTCACAATTCCACAGTGAATAAATAAGCAGCCTCTCGACAATTAGATATACTCAAGTTATACTCGGTCTTGATTTAAATTGAAGATGCCAACGTCCGAGTCACCTCCTTCGGAAATGAGGCCCCAAGGCAAACTGCGCAACCACTAAGTACACAATCTTTCTACTTTGCGCGCTATGTAGGTCCCAGCCTCACCGTGACTCTTATCTGCTTTAAAAAGATCCTGTATGAGCACAAATCAGTTGTACAATTTGTGGAATTTGCATACTTGGAACTATTTCAATGCCATCCCATTGGCATGGCCAGAGGACATAGAGAGCTGAAGTCAGCTAGACGGGCTTATTTAGGTAAATTAAGACTAGCTACAGTATAATTACTGGGACTCCCCAGTAAGGTTCTACTGTGTGCCATAGAGCTCTGAGATCGGCCTTACTGGGGTCAACGGGTTTGTGAGTGACGAACCGTGCCGTTTCATGCTCCAGGACCGGCGTTTCGCTATCGGGACCATGCCGAGTAATAAACTTCCTTCCTTCCTTCCCCCCGACACGGGCAACAGAAGACTGTTGCGCAATAAGTCACTTTCACCAGATACATCGATAGTACAATCTTAGTGCTACAGATGGCATCATGTAATTACTAAAACATTTCTAGAACTCGGCATAGACCTCGAGGTCCAAGAGAAAGGACCGCGTGCAAGCCCGGACAGGCGTTCGAAGTAAAATCGCGATATCCAGATACCGATTCGATGGTATATCAACGGAAGATATCAGCAGTCTATTTTGGATCAATCGATAATAATAAAAGCGAAAAATTCCGAATTCTTTCACTGGAGGGCGAGAAAAAGAAAACAACTGGACGGCAATGTAAGGGTTTCCCCTTACCCTCGCCTCAACCGACGACCCACTCACTCCCAAACGCATACATGCGTCTTATCGCTCCGCATTCGACCTTTGGAGCTTGAAAGAATAACTTGCAGGCGCATATACAGAGGATCTAACTTCACTCGGATTGACTACATACACATCTCCTTATTTTAGTTCCTTAGTTAGCTCTTACCTTGTCGAATTAACCCAGGTTATTCCCCGTTCATTATTCCCTCTGAGCTCCCCTGCAACTCGATCCCAGTTCATAACAGGCAACAGAGAAAGGTCTTTATATCAAGATCATGTTGAAGGGGAATTGAACCTAGGCGATTGCACAATCCCCCTACTTCTTCCGGAGTTGCGTGAAAATAGTAGCCATCTCAACTACGAGAAAAAATTTGATTCAGGTACCCCCACACGCTCACGAGCGCGCTTTCTGCTTCATACTATAGATACCATCTATATACGATCCTTGTGCTACTAGCTGGGCAATTTCTGGAACCCTGCATAGGCCGTAATCCAAGAGAAAGCGTCTGTCAGTGGTGCAAACCCGAGCAGGCATTCGAAGCAAAAAAAAGCAAAAAAACACAAAATCGTGATCAATAGCCTTATTATGATATATGAACTCAAATCAAATTGGTCCATCATCTTCTCAGCTCGTCACGTCACACCAGCACTAAGTACATCCTTCACTATTAATCAATCCAGTGTCAGACACCACTAGTTCTGAGATACTAGAAGCACCTAGGCCTCGTCCCCGGATCCAATCCAAATCACTTCCCTCGAGTCGGCCCTCAGGTCCTAAATTCAATCAGTTCAATCGTGCTCCGCTAGTTGTCCAATCTTCATTAAGAACGTCTCTGGCCTAGAGAAAAGACGATATTCAGAGTAAGCAATAAGTTTAATTTACTAGAATAAATGGACATGCCAAACGAAGATGAAGAAACTTGAATGATTGAGAGGACGGATTGTAGAAAGATGGAAGTGAATTAAGTAATCGCCACTAACCTCTGAATTGGCATTGGCCCGTCGTTCATGAACCCACCTCCACTCCTCTGCATCCGACTCAGAAACGTCCCGAGCCTTGAGAACAAAAATAGTACACTTGTGAATGGGCAAGAGTAAAGCAAACCAAGAAGATAATCACTAACCGTGACCTTCAAGCCTTGAACAATAGGTGTAGCATTAACAACCACAAAGGCAGACGCCAAGATGGAGAGGACAGAGAAAATGTGGCTGAATTTCATTGTTCGAACTTGAGTTGATGGAACGCATTTTGCTTTGCGGCCTTTTATACACTTCAAGCGGTAGGTTTCCGACCAAGATACTATCAGTGCCAAAACTGCGCTAAATCGGAGGATTTAAATTGATATCATGCGTATCAGCAGTTGATGTGAGGCCTAAATTCTGTAACGTGTTCACGGTCTGCATCGGCCCTGTCACCTACCTGATCCATTGGGTCGGTGCAGTATTACTTGTGCTGGTGTATGATCCCAGCGGTAGCCTGTATGGTCCTCTCTTGGATGCGACGTCCCGAGATTGCACCGTGTAATCTATTAGTGGGGCTGGGACCTGCAGCATGGGCCAAGTAGAGAGCTTGTGCAGTGTCAGTAAGTACCAGTGAAGGAGAAAGAGAGAAAGCATCTGAATCAGATATTCTTCAGAAGTTCTAGTACGGCTCCGATATAGTCTAGTGAAAAGGACTTAAAAGTTGAGGTCAAGGCACAATCCACTCGGATGGTGCCTGCTTGCTACATTCAAACAAATCCTTTTTTGCCATCTGAGTAGCACTAGTGGAGGCGATTTTTTGCTTTTCGAGTCGTAATTATCGTTTCGAGGGGTTGATGCAGACCAATTTTTGATTCTTGTTATTTTCTTTTCTCTTGGACTCCGGTCTACGCCGGGTTTTAGAAAATCGATCGAATAGTACATGGTAGTAGCACGAAGAGTACTATCTGTAGAAATTATCTCCGAGTTCGTCGGTAGTTTGCAGTGATGCGAAGATTGTAGAATTAAATAATTCCGATATGGTGTAGTGGCTAACATTATCGCCTCTCACATGCGAGCCGCAAAATCAAATAGTGCGCGATAGCCCGGGGCTCGATTCCCCGTGTCGGAATGCTCTCCTCTCATTCATTTTTTCTTGCTCACTGACTGGCATTACCTTTTCGCTTTGTTATTGTTTCGAGCAATGTAAGATAAACTAGCGATTTCTCCTGATCTTTTTGGTTCGGACTCCGGCCCACGCCGGCAGATGTATGGCTATACTGGAACATAATATCAGATCAGTAGTGTTTCGCCGGAGAAGGTTCAAGGGTTCGGATGGAGATATTGTGTTTTTAGAAGAGATAGGACTGCGTTCTCCCAGTTCCAATCCAACTTTTGCTTCCGCGCAGCATCCAAAGCCGAAAAGAAAATTAAACGCCGATGCCGAGATCCATCAAAAAAGCGGTGAAACGAGAGCCTTGGTTCTCGAAGCGGCGATCGAAAGCCGAATTCTCGCTTTTTCCTTTCTTCCTCCACGTCGCAACGACGAGCTCCAGCCCCAGAAAACTTTCCGTTGTTGGCCAAGTAACGGAGGTTGTCGTTCTTTTCAGCACCAATTGAAGGCTAATAGATATTCGCCGTGCAGCTTTTTCTTTCTTCCTTTTGACGCTCTCTCTCTCTCTCTCGCAATCTCCTTTTAATTGGTATCATCTAATTCGATCTGTGGAACAAAAGCTTGAGCAAAATTAGATCTGCGAAGAAGCAGCAATAAAACCAAGGTTTGTGCCACAGTCTGGATTTTTACCTTTGAATTTAAGAGGTTAATCCTCAATAATCTTTTGCTTTTGCTTTTACGCTTCTGCGTTCTGTGTGTCGCATTCGAGGTTAAAAGAGGTTGTTTAATCCTCCAAGCCACTTTCGATTCCTTTCTTGGAATCCTCCGCTCTGGAGCCTCCCCATCCTTTTTCTCGTTTCGTGAATTCGGCTCCTCTACGTGTTCGCTCCATAGCGCTTGAACTGCGGCCTTCCTTTTCTTTTCCCAATTTGCTTATGTGAGGCACTACTTAAAACTGACTCCTTTTCTTTCTGGTCAACCAGCTTAACGAACAAGTGAAGAGAATAAAATGGCATCCATACTTTCTGCTGCTGTCAGTGGACTAACTGCTGGAGCTGGTACGTTCATTCAACTCGTTTCATTGTAATTAGCTGAATAAATTCAGACTCGACATCGGCAGCCTCTAGTAGTTCTTCTAGCTTCTACCACTACTACGTCGTCGACCACTTCTACGAAGTCCAAGCACCACGAGCACGAGCACGAGCACGACTTCGACTTCAACCTCAACTTCATCCAGTACAACCACATCTTCCACCTCCAACAACGTCAACTACCTCTTCATCTTCCTCGGATACATCTACGACTGGGTCGTCTTCCAGTACAGGCAGCTCCATTTCCAGTAGCGGACTCTCTAGTAGCACAAGCGCCATTTCTACGCTAAGCAGTACGCTGACTGCACCTCTAACTACCTCTGTGCAGGCCACTGTGACCTCTACCGGCGTGAACGGTGCGGTCATCACTACAGTCATCGAGACCGAATCCGTCCTTTCAGCAGGCTCAGTCGTGACTGCTACTTCCTCAGCATCCAACAACTCAGTTTCCTCCTCTTCGTCTCACACTGGCGCCATTGTCGGAGGTGTTCTAGGTGGCGTTGGTGGTCTTATCGTCATTCTCGGTATCCTATTCTTTGTTCTCCGACGAGCACAGCGGAAACGCGAGTTGGACGAAGCTTTTGATGGAAACTTTGATCCTGACCGCATTGTTCGCGCTGGTGGCGTCGGTCTCGGTAATAGCGGTGGAGTTCGGGACAGTATTGCTGATGGAAGCGATACAGGTGGATATGCGTATGCTGGCGGCGAGAAGGCAAAGATGAAGAAGCAGGCTAAGAGGGCTAGTAGAGGCGCGAGTATGGCTTTTGATAAAGGGACATTACCTGATATTCCTGTGGAGGGAGGTCATCATTTACCGGAGATGCAACAGCTCATGCCTCCGAGGAATAACCTTCTCGATGAAGAGGGTATGGATGACGATGACGGGATGGGCGGGAGGTTGAATGGCACGAGTATCGGGGGTGGAATTGTCACTCCTTATACCCTGTACAACTCGAATCCAAGTACCGTTCCTTCGTCTCCAGCGGCTTCGTCATCGTTCCATACTCCTAGTCATCACTCGACATTCCCTCTTATCAACACTTCCTCATCCGACGGTCACATAGGAGCCGGCATGACTCCTGCACGAGCAGCAAAGGAACGCGAAGCGTTCGGTGGACGACCTCCGTCCATGGCAATGTCTTCAGCTTCAATGTCAGGTCACGGTCATCCAAACCCAGCGTATGGCCCAAGTCCATATGCAGGATACGCACCACGACCTCCTTCAACGACCGGAAGTCTTCTTTACGGAATGGGTGGATCTCCACCGGGAACTCCGCCTCCTCAGACACCTTCATTCTACCCGAACCCATCTGGACGCTCAACGTCGCCTGGAGCGCCTTCCGCATATGCCTCTAGCACTCCAGTACCTCCTGCACAAGGAAGGAGATACTCGAGTGGACCTCAAGCTATAGGTGGCGGCGGTTTGGCTGTTATGAATCCCGATTCTACTACTCCGACGATCGCTCCATCGATGAAATCTCCCCAAGGGCATTCTACTAGTGTTCCTAGGGAGGTCTTGGTGCATCAGGATGGGGGACGTGTACCGGTGAATCTGATGGATGAGGATGCGGGTCCTGAGGAGATTCCACCGACATATGATAGTTTGAAAGTGGCTGGTCGAGCCCGGCCTGTGGAGAAGGCATAGGTAGATCTAAGCTCGTTGCTACGGCTTTGCTTCGATGTCAACATTGACCGACTGTCTTTTTTTGTGCTTGCTTTCTTCCCTTCTACTTCGAACTCACGATCCTTCCTTTCGTATCTCCCGAACTCCCCACCCCTTTGCTTGCTTTCTTGCTGGGACCCAATTGTTTCTTCACTTCCTCACCCTCTACTTTACTCCATCTTGCTTCTTGGTACTTGCTCACCTCATCTCACTCACTACTGGGACTCTCACATCATGATTTTACAACCTCATTCAAGGACTCACTGACACTCGTGCACATGCCTTTCTTTACTTACTTACCGATACTCATTCACCTTGAAGTTATTTCTGTTATTCATCACGTAGATTATATTCGCCACCTACTGGACCATAACATGTATTTATATATCTAGGTCAAGTATTATACTATTTAGATTGTTCTTGCATTGTTTAATCTCGGAATGGTCTACTAGAGCCCTGGCCCATTGTGGAGTTTGAAGTCTCTTGCTTTTTTGTGTGTGTGTGTTTACGGCGACGGCGACCATTTACGCTTACACTATTGCGAGAAACGGTTGGAAGGAGATATGGGGCAAGGAGAGATACGAGGCCCACTCCGAATGGCTTTGAAGTACCTGGCAGCTAGGCAAGTTTTCGTTTGAAAGCGTCCAACAATCATTGACCAGTACCGGAAACATCAATACAAGATGAAATTTCAGTCATATCAAGTGGAAACGAAAAAGACAGTGAAAAAATCATGAATCATAAGTACTCAAGTACTCAATCACGAATGTTCAAGAAAAAGGACTAAAGAACAAATTCCATGTGGAAAATGCTATCAAAAAACGAAGCGTCGTCAAGCTCTTTAAGCTCATGAAGAATTTCACTTGGAGGGGTAAGAAGGATATAAGTGGCTTGTGTTACACCGCGATCTTTAAGCCATGTTAGACCTGCGTCTTTCACATCGTGCTTACGACTGGTCGTCGTCTGGAAGGTTATCGCGTGACCATCGCGGTCGACGTAGAAGGCGTCGAACGTCGGAAAAGTACGGTTATTGGGAAGGTAGTAGGTCGAACAAAGTAGGGGTCCAGAGTGAGTATCTTTGTCAAAGCATTCGATGTTGACCGGTGCGGGGTCGTTTACTGTTACTGACGGTGCTTCGGAGAACGCGACGAGAGACATGGTCGAGTTAACAACGAGGGAATGTGTTACATTCCCAGTAGCACGCCATGTTCGCGACCCGAGAGCAGCCATCTTGCAAAGCTTCCAGACTCCACCTTTGGTGAGATACGTGTGAAAGTGGACATCAAGAAAATGCGAAGCCAAATACTTGCAGCCGACATTCTTCGCACGAAGGAAGATTCTGTATAGTTTCAAGCGTGCAAGTTCCTCGTTCTCGTCCAGAAGTTTGAGGACTCTGAGCTGCATCTCTTCGCTAGGGAAAGTGATACAAAATTTTCGCCTGTCCGAATCGGAAACAGGAAACACCGAGAGGAGTGCATGACCACCATTTTTAGGAACAACGAGGTCAGAGGGATAACTAATCCATAGATTCTTGAGTTGGTGCCTGTCCATTTTCGCAGCTGCAGCGCTAATTCGTTGATCGAAAAAGTTTGGTTGGTTTGCAAAGGTATAGGCGTCTTCGGCTGATCCTCCATACTTTTCGTGGAAGATCTGAAGCATCTCTTCTGTCGGCTTTGGAAGTCCAGGTGGCCATTTTTGCAATTGATGACTACAACTCCTGGTCAGTCATAATTTTCACAATTCCAACTTGAACATACCCAGCGATAAGCTCATCGAGGCCCCAAGGCTTCATTACAAAATATTCCCTCATTGCGGCAAATGCAGGCTTTCTCATCCACTCCATATTTCCGGGCCCGGGAGAAGCGGTCTGCATGATGAAACGGTCAGTAAGGGATATACATTCCGGGACATTGAAGGGCTCCATGTCAGAGTCGACAAGACACCAGGTTGTGGGAGGAAGTATGTCTTCCATTTCCTCGACTCGAGCTCGATCTACTTGGATCTCGTACACCACTCGCTCTTTCCATAGCACTGCATTCGTAAGATCCCGCATATACAACGTAGGAAGATTTCGAGAGCAACGCAGACTCCAGATAAGACCCGAAAAAAGAGATTTTCCTGTAGTAACAGTTAAATAATAAAGAGTTGCGTCAGCACATAGTATCTAACCTTTAAAGGATGAAAGACCTATTCCAGGGAGTCCAGTAATGCATATCCCGGAATTGCACGTGATATTATTGGAGTCGAAGGGATTGGGGAATGTG